AAATATCCTGAAATTTGTGATTTAATTACGAAAAAAATGTTGATGGTAAAAACATTTATCTAATTCAAGTATTTATTTTTAAGGGTTGTTTAAAATATTAATATTTTTTGAGTAAATTAAATTAAAACGTAATAARTTTTTCAAAATATTGTTTATGGACGATGTGGGTACCTATATTTCTTAAATTACTTAGTAGCCATATAATTTTCACAATATTTAAAGTACGTTTAAGTAACATACTTTTTTTTCATGTAATAACCTGTATAATAAAAGAAAATAATAGTTGGGTAATTATTGTTCGTTATTCAAATGCACATAAAAAGACAATAATCGAATGATTGTAGCTTTTATAGACTCTAAAACTAAAACACATAATACTTATTTTTCCGAATAAAATGGGAATAAGCACAAACACTGATCCCAAASTGCGTGTGCTATAAGAAATGTTATATTTTAGAGCGTGTTTACTTTTGGTTTTAAAATTAAAATGGTTTTTATGGTAGAACTTTGATCAATGGGCAATACTTGTAGTTATTATCATTATTAATATTATTGTTATTATTATTAATATTTTATTATTATTATTGTCAATATAAATCTATTGAACACGATTGCACTTGGAAAACTGTAAAGCTATAATAACTTCGATTCTAAAAAAAAAACATAAATTGCCGTTATCGTGAGCTGGATAGTCTACTCCAATGGTATACAATTATAGAATATAGGCTTTTATAATGGTTTTTATGAACTTATGTATAAAATCAATATCTTAACTTTGATTGGCGACGACAGACATCAATAGGTACCTATACGCGACACTTTTCATTGAATTATATTGAACATAAATTTGTAGTTTCGACAAATATGATAGGTACCTACACAATATTTTACTTAGTGACTAGTTCCTACTATACATATATATGTAACAATTTTTGTACCTTCTTTTTTTATTAGATAAAATAGAATATTTACAATCTGTAATATTTGAACATACAATAAGTAAATTTGATAAATAATAAATAACATAACGTGAGTGACGTGAGTAGGGAAGCCCACCAGTGTTGATGCCCTCTAACTTGGGGGARGGAGTTTTTATTTTTTTTTAATTAGTGTAGGTCGGGATGCCTACATTCTAATTAATATTTAATAACTAGCTGATCCCGTGCACTTCGTTGCCCGTTAAATGTACCATCTCCATATGACTCAAACTTTATTCAATTTTATTTGTTATTTGTTATTTGTTATTTAATTAAATTTGTATCACCTCYCCGTCACCGTACTCGTCCTGTCGGGGCAAAAAATTCTCCTGAACAGAACCGTCACMCTGGTGATAGGGCGGTGTGAATAAAAAATAATTAAATAAAACATATATAAGCATAATATAATACAATATAATCAATTGATTGTATTCATGAAATAAAGTTTGTAATTGTTCTACATAGACCTCTTTAATAAATTGTTATGAAATTGTTACGAAATTGTTATGTGCAAACGCAGATCAATTTCTTGTGGTGAATTGCCCATAAAATAAATTTGCAGGAATTTGTAGTTGCTATCTGACACTGGTAACAGTGAACCTGTTCTGTGATACATTTGGCCTTGCATCTGTAAATTAAAAAAAATATTATGTTTGTACCAAACACTATAAAATAAAATAAAATAAATAAGCAATGTGGCGTATAAATTTATGGATTGTCAGTGATCAAACTTAAATAATATTTGTTCTTAAAAATTATATCTGTCTCCTAATGTGAATCACCAAATAATATTTAATATGCTTAAGTYTTAAGTACCTCAATATGTAATATTTATTTGTAACTAAATTTAATAAATACAATTTCATGTACATTTCGAGACGAATCGACTAAAAAATTTTAAAATTTATGTATATTTGAATTACTATAAATACAATTTTATGTATATTTTGAGACGAATCGACGAAAAAATTTAAAAATCGATGA